AGACCACAGTCCAAGTTCCACACCCAGAACAGAAACTCAACTGAAGGACGAAACTACAAAAGACATCTTCACGTCAGACATCAGTAAAAAGTGGGAGACATTAAGCAACATCCCTGAAGAAACCTGTGTGGAAGAACACTGGAACTCTTTCAAAGAGATGTGGAAGGAAACCTGCATAGCCGTATTGGAAAGGAAGAAGAAAGAAGATAATGAATGGATGTTGACGGACACATGGAAGCTGATAGAGGAGGGAGAGGAAGATGGTGATGGTGAAGCAGAAGATGAAGTGGTGCAGTGCAGTGCAGTACAGTGCAGTGCAGTGCAGTGCAGGGATGGACGACGAGAAGAGGAACTGAGCACAAAGTATAAAACACTACGCTGGATAAAGAAGTGAAGAAGGGTGCGCGTAAAGACAAAAGACACTTCCACGATACACTTTTAAGTGAAGCAGAACAAACTGCCTGCTGGTAGGAGAGACCTGACAACATTGTATCAAATAACCAGGTTAATATCTGAGAAGAGATCAACATAGATAAAACCAATGATGGAGATGTAAATTTAGTTACCAAAGAAGAGAAACAAAGTAAACGATTGGCCGATCACTTTGAAAAGCCCTTGAATCGACCACCACCTGCAGCCACAGAATTACCATTGGACACACAAGCCTTCTAGCAAAAGCCGAAGTCCTGAACGCCATAAAGTTGCTGAAAACCGGGAAAGCTGCAGGACCAGATGGAATTCCTCCAGAAGCACTGAAAACAAACACAGAGACAACAGCAAACATGTTCACATCACTACTGCAGGAGGTTTGAAAGGAAGGAAAGGTACCTGCCGATCGATTGGAAGAAGGGTTACCTTGTCAAACTCCCAAAAAAGGGAAACCTAAGTCTTTGCAAGAAATAGTGCGGAATCATGCTCCAATTCTATCCAAACCAAGCAAAATATTAAGGCGTATCATCCTGGAGGGGCTTAAAGATGAGCTGAATTCAAAATTGCGACCGGAACATGCTGTGTGGCTGGCTAGATTCAGGATAGAACAAGTTATGTGCAGATCAAATCGCGACGCTAAGCTACGCATCATCATAGAACAGAACATAGAATGGCAGTCAACTCAAATTCATCAATTTTGAAAAGGCCTTCGACAGAGTCCACAGAAGAGTAATTTGAAAACTGCTTCAACACTACCGTTTTAGTGCCACAGACCTTTATCAACCTCATTCAACAGCTGGCTATATGAAGACACCACATGCCAAGTGAATTACCATGGAAAGGTCAGTGATGCCCTTGCAGTGAAGACGGGAGTAAGAAAATGTTGCCGCCTACTATCACCAATGATCTTCCTGATTGTGGTAGACTAGACTGGAATGGATCATGCAACAAACTGTGAGGGGTGACAGGAGGGACATACGCTGGCTGGACCGATGGAAAGACCTCAGAAGAAGATTTGGATTTCGCTGATGATGATTTATGTTTAATGTCTTGTGGCACAAAGTCGAAGATCTACAGGCGAAATCCAACAAGTTGACAGAGGAGACAGGGCAGGGAAGACGGGACTTCAAGTGAATATGGAGAAAACAGAGGTAATGAATATACTCAATCATCAGCGAAAAGCACCAATCACCATCAACGGGAGAAACCTAAAGGAAGTGGCCTCTTTCACCTACTTACCTACCTACCTACCTAGGCAGCATCGTTTCAACTACAGGCGGTGGTGGCGGCATAGGTGAGGATGTCAAAGCCAGGATCGGAAAGACAGCAAGACAGACCTTCCTGCATTGATCTGAAATCAATGTGGAGATCTATTGCACTCCACTGCACTCAGCATAAAGAACAACATCCAGATTTTCAACACTAATTCAGTCAAGTAAGTCAGTGCTTCTATGTGATGGTTGAGAGACTTGGCGCGTTACGAAAAGCATTTCCAACAAACTACAGACATTCATCAACAGCTGCCGCCTTCGCTCGCTCGATACTGAAGATCACATGGATTGCCAGAATGATAAGAATAAGCAAGAAGGGACTCACTTGGGCAACGAACCAACCAAGAACCTATCGCCCAACAAATATGCAGAAGGAAGTGGAGATGGATTGGGCATACACTAAGGAAACCATTCGAGGACATCACGTGCCGGCCGTCGAGTAGAACCCTCATAGGAAACGACGAGTTGGGTGTCAGAGGGTGACATGAAGGAGATGGTGTGAGGAAGAAACGAAAGCTTCTAGGTAGCCACGGAGTCAGGTTTAAAAGACTACAGAGAACAGAGTGGAATTGAGACGTTCTACTGAAGCCCTATGTTCCACTAGGATCCTAAGGAACAAATAATAATAATAATAATCGCATGTTAACATATGAAATTGACTGTCTCAGTACATTGGTGAATATTGATGATACATCTAAAGACAACATCCAGTTCTCCACTCACACTCACCTCTGTCAACTTAAGCGTAGTGACTAATGTTTATAGGAATATCTCACCCTAAATGTAATAGCTGAGCAAATAACTTTTGTAAAGATGATCAATTTCAGGTAAATTTCTGCTGAAATCTGTGTTTGTCTAGCATAAGTCATTCTTGACTTTGTTTCTTAATAAGCTGGAACATAGTGGTAGATTACGATAACCATATATAGATTCAGAGGCAGAAAGCTGTTTAAAATGTTATAGTTGATTGTTGTCAAAAGGTCAATCGAATATTCATTGCTTATCGCCTTATCATCAAACACATTGGTCACACGCAGTCATTTATTTGCTCCAGTGTTTTCTTAATTCTTCATGACGAGTCAACCAAAAGTGTAATGGTTTATCGTTGTTTCTGCATCAAATCTAAGCCGAATTAAACGACTATTTAGTTACAAACTCTTATGCAATCTAATGGTTTGTAGAGAATCAACTAATTTGTAAGTAATTACAATTGGAACCTAACAATAATGGATCCAAGTGTTGTGCATTTCGTACTTGCTCAAAATGATTGTCTAACACTATAGTTTTTACTTTACTTGGAGATAATGATGAGAAGTATGACGAAAACAAGCAGTCCTTTACTCAGTACTTTTATTCATCATAATAGGCCGCTGTGTGATTTAGTTTGATATGCTGACATACACTTCTGAACACTCGAACAATAACCTTATGATTCCACCTTTGATGATCACTCACTTTCTCAGAAATGGTAAAGGTTGCAAGATAACAGAAGACGTACTGCAAGCTTGAGGTGTTTGCACAATACAAGAATGTATAGTTTCACGATGACATTTAATATTCCAGGTCTTTATGAAAATGCATTCTTAATTGGCTCTATCGCTTCACTCAGTCTCATATTTACATGTATGATCATTCTGTTATTGCTAACAACTTCAGTCTACATGACTGCTTACAGTTGTAAATCTAACCTAGCGGTCTACATATGTTGAATATCTTTAAAGGCAAAGTTTACAGATTGTGCCAAACATTTTGCGATTAAAATAACCTCGTTTATATAGGCAACAATCAGCTGTTGGTTTCAATTTCCTCAAAAGGGCAGAAATGATTTGTTACAATAAACAAAAAGACATTGGTACAAGTAACATAGATCCACTTAGCCCTCATCTAGAATAAAGTACTGGCACAAATGGAAAATTCAGTGATTAAAAATTAATTGGTGTTATTTGCACATATCTGTATGGATTACACTCTATATAAAGTATCTAGTTGATGGGTAAATATCTGTTTGTTTGTAAATCTATCCTAGAGGAACCAAAAAGCAGTTAAAACTTACCAAGTCTTTTACCGTAATACCACAAAGGTCAGTCACTCTTTTTCTATAGATAATTTCAAAATGAACCACTCTATTAGTACTGAGTGATTTTTAAAGGCAATCATCGGGGCTAACAGGAGACTGTACTGTTCAGTATACAGTGATAAAAGTATGAAAACCAGTAACAGACATGGAACACCATCTACTACATATGACTTACGAGAACTCAACTTATAATCAGTTAACCTTTTTTTGACATTGTACAGACTGGTTTATTTTTAAAATATTTTTTTATCCGAAATGAGATAAACTTGTATAATGGCTGTGATCCTCACTAATAAACTCCAAGAGATTGTAGTTTGGAGTCTATAGATGAAACTGCAAATACTATGTTGCAAGAAACATGATACCACTGAACACTAATGATTGGTCAGAAGTACAGTTTCTTAGTAATCCTAACTAGGAGGTATAGTACCATTGGAAAAATTTTACTTAATGATAGAAACTAGCTCACAGTCAGCTATAAACAAGCGGAAAATGATTATATATGAAAACCATCACCACAATACTAATGAACGAAGCTCTCCTATGTTAGTAAATTCAAACACCTTATTCAGATGGGTACTATTTTTCATAAAACAAACAAACATTTCTATTATTTGCCAGAGAAAAAAGGAATCGATGCAAAATAAATCAAATAGAATATTACCTTGGTATAACCAGATGAGAAAAGTAACCTATATGCCGCAGAAATGAAAAAAATCTTGTGGATGAATAAACATCTTTAGATTCAAATTATTTAATGATCTGAAATCTCATTCAGCACCGGTAAAAGCTGTCACCATAATGAATGACTTAGTAATAACGGAGAATTGGTATGGAAACCAGACTTAGTGAACGAAGACTCCGTAAAAAGCAGGCAGCACTTTAAGAAAATTCTGATCTTTTAGGATGACACCAAGTATTAATCCTTTGAAGTCCTGAAATCAGTAATGCCTAAACGCATTTACTGCATAATGTTACAAACATCGTCTTTTATTTTCCAGTTCATACTACTGTATAAATGCCAAGAACAAAGACATAAATGACGATGAAATTGAACAAGAAACTGAAGGTGTTTAGTAAGGATTCTCAAAAGGAAATAAATTTTATTTATAAGCTTGTCACTCTGAGATAATATTTACAGCAAGAATAGAAGCTAATTGCAGCAATTATGTATCCATTTCTCTTCTATAGATGTCATCCAATCTGTTCTTTTTCTTAAACAGGAAATTTCAATCATCAATTCATTTGTCCAGTGTGTAATAATGAAATTAAACCAGAAGATATAGAAGACCACTTCAATTATGAACTAAAACAAATGCAAAACTTTACAATCAGGTTCGTACAACAGCATTTTGTTCATTCCATGTTAATATCAAAAAGGTTCTCAAGTTAATTGATTCCGAAAATTCGTTTGAATATTAGACAATTGTTGATGATTGTCGCATGCCATGGGTCCTATTAAAGTAAAGCTCCACTAGTGAAAGTCGTGATTTACCAATTTAGTGCATTGAAGCATACGTTTATCGATAATTCACCTTATTCTTGCAGTTATTTAAAGCGGTTTCAAAACGCATTACAGAAAGTTTCTTAAGATACAGGAAGTAACACCAGTAAAAGAATCACGTGTTTTGAAAGTATGTCTGCGGCTTTATTTAATGTATGCTAGTGTCATCATTGCAGCTTCAAAAAACAGTCAGAGAAGCTTGGAATTGATTATTATTTAGGTCTGCAATCATCATACTGTTCGTCTCACAACCATTAACAAGGTTACTGCTCTGAAGAAATCATCAGTTTAGGCATTCCTTTATATTACCCAACCTATTTCCATTAAATGCTACTACTTTCTAATCAAAATCAAATTGATAATAATCTAATGATCATTGATAAAGCTCAAATGGATGTATGATACAGTAAACAATATGTGGCGTCAAAAGAAGATTACGAAATTGAAACCATTTAGCTGTAGCATAAACGAAAACAACTACATACTTACATTTCCATAGAAATAGAAGGAGGAATACATGGGGCTAACTCTAGTAATGGAATTTCAGTTGACATATGCCGTAAAATCAAGGTTTCGAACCTGTAGAAGTATACCACATTGAAGGTCCTGATAAACTCTAGGAGAACAATATACTGGCTAAAAATTATATATCTGGAATGATGTTTACAGCTTCTACTGCGAAGTGAAATGCTTTGGTTCCCTCATGAAATCTTCCCCTTTTTCGCAGTTTCACTGCGTTTTGAAATTTCTTTATTCAAGTACCCATCAAATCTATATTTTATTCATTACTTAACCGAAGTTTAATAAATTTACATTGAATTCGGATGACTTAATTGGTAAAAACTAACCCACAGCCGGGTCTACTTTGCATATTAAGTGTTTAAGTCAAGCAACTAAATTGAAAAGATATTTCTTATGATCGTAACAAGTGTACCGTTTTTTAAATTTGAACGGAACTCAGCCAGCAGAATTCAAATTGAAATATCCGTAGTTTTATGCCATAGTTCAAAAGAAGTATTATAGAATAGCTTTGAATAAGGGAGATCAACATCTGCTTTCAAATATGGTTTTCACGTGTACATTTTCATTCGTATTATGTTAATAGAGCTATTATTCATACAAAGGTAGTAAACTTTTCACAGTGTCTATGATGAATCAGTCACTGAATGGTGAGTTAATACATACTACACTTTAAAATGAACTAGTGAACAATATGAGTACATAAAAAGTACATATGCTGATCTGTAGATTTCGGTAATCAGATCAAAGTATGCTAGACATAGGATATCCATTTTACTAGTTTGTGACAAAGCTCATGAGTGGTGTCTTCAGTAAATTCGGTTTACAGATCTAAATTACTCGGATCGGTCGAGTCTGATTTGATCTGGTTTATTTACTGGCTGAAACGTCTAGGTTGAAATTCGAAATAGTGGAGAATATTTGCAGCTCAGGCGGATAGTATTAGTTGTATGTGTTCTCATAGGTTGAAATTTATCAAAGCTGAATTGTTATTGAGCTACTCATTCCTAATATAAGTCAGATTTACGCTGCACAGCAAAACACCTCACACTATAGGTTGCAAGCTTGCTAATGAAGTTCTGCAAGACAACCTAATCTACTACTTGGTACTACAAATTCAATTTCTACTGGTATCGCATTGCTCAATTGGGGTTAAGTTACGTAGTACAGATTCATACAGGTAGTTACCATAATTGGCTATCTGTGTATACTTTGTCTAGAGGAGTCAGCTGTTGCGTTCATGATCGACAACTGAAGTTCTAAACAGATCAATATAACAAAAAGTTTAATACACATACGTCATGTTCGTCTGAAAATACAGTTTCATTCGCTTAAGCAAGAAACTGGAATCGTAGAGAAATTCAGTGCTTCTTTATGCTGTTCACATACGATGACTTTATTTTGACTAAATAAATGTCAGTCAACTCACTCGATTCCGAAGAAGTAGGCAAACCGGTTCGAGTGATTCATACGAATGACTTCACATTCTATATATATTTTCTTATACATACTGGAAAAGACGAAACTGAACTGTCATAGCCAAGGATGGTCACAAAAGGTAGTTTGAAATCTTCAGTGAAAAAGTTGTTACATAATGGCAATTAAAAATTATCAAGAGATTAAATGGAAAATTAGGGTAACGCCACAAGTAATAATGTGGCATCCAAATGGTAAGATCAATCAACCAGGAACATATGCAATTTTGAGTATTTATATCATATATGAGTGTATTAAATGGTTTCTTGTTTTCTGAAATGTGTATTCAAATTACAACCAATTTCTTATTTTTCTAGAAAGCATCCAAGTTAGGATTTTCTGGGAAAGTAGGAGTTGACCTTTTTGGTGTAGTAGGCATAGTATCAAATCTTGATAGTTTAAATGTTAACCAGTTATGCTTGTAGCTTTACTATTGATTGTTTGCATTTCCTACGTGGTTATTTCCTTTTATTTGGCGGGAAACCATATCTCCTACAGAATGAAAATAAATTTGCAGTTCAGGGATGCAATGTACTGTTAGCAGTATCAACTAGCATGGAAAATGAAAAAATCTTGAATTACGTGAATTCAGAGAGCTATAGAGAATTTCTGGAACATCATGATTCTGGTCCACCATCTGTTGAGAAGTTCATTGACATGGTCAAAATTTTGTCATTCTGTCAGAAGGATCACAAGACCAACTCCCTTTTCAAACAATAATGTTGGATCATAGAGAAAATGGCATTCATAACGCTAGCGGAATAACCTAGTGTAGCTAAGGATGTTAAAATGTACTGCTTCTCAGAAATATTACGTAATCGCTTCTCCTGAATTAGAAAGTGATGAAAATAAAGGCTAGGCTAGGCAGCTGAACCCAGATCATAGAGCACAAAACCATACCATTTCAATATTCTGCTGCATATTAGAATGAAATACGTAAAAACATTAGTTGCTTCATGCAGCGTTTAATGGAAAATGTGGAACTGTAGTAACAAATGAACTAATCTACAAGCAAATAAAACTGAAAATTGATATTTCCGTAACGATAAAATATGACCTTCAGTTCATCGTAAACCAAAAAAATTTTCCCCGCATAGTCAATTCGTAATGTAAGTGAAATGAATTTAATGTTATTGTACTGGTTCAAAACTGTTTTAAAACGTATGCATAACCACTTTAAACAAGAAAACCCGTTTGTACAAAGCCTTTCTTACTGTATTAGAGGTGAATGCACTAAAAAGGCCTTAAAGTTACGATCCCAAGACAGAAATTCAATTGTTAGGACTGCTATAGAAGAAAACATTGATTTGAGAAACTCTGACTACTGCTTAGTCATGGTTCAGTGAAATATGCCCTTTAATTCCCACAAATGACCTGTAGTGATAACTTAATAACAATAAATAACATCATTATTTACCCTTAAGTGGTGACTGAATATTATTGACCATGACAAAGTTTCTAATATGACTACAAAGACAGCCGATGATATATGGTGATGGACTGAAAGGGGTAAGAAAAATGTTTTAAAATTATTAAAATTTATTTCCTTAACTGCAGCAGCATAGGATGACGTAACGAGTCATATAGGAGCAGTGCATTTGCGGTTTTTAGATAAACTTAACGGACTCTAAACTTTCCATTACCCCCTTTCAGTTATTTAGAGTCATTTATCATTTTCTGAACTGTTCAAATGGCCTTTTTATGATTTTCTGTCTTTTTAAATTACATTTCAGCTTACCTACAGATGATACAACCTCCAATAAACATGAGGTAATTACATTTTCTCATGCACTTTTTATTTATTATAGTCACCCAAAAATACTCAGCACAAAAATGACATACTGAATAGCAATTCAAGATATGCGATATTTAAAAAAATTGAAAGAAATAGAAAAGAGAGACGAGGTAATTATATCATGAAAAGCAGTCAGGATATTCAGTGACTTCTTACAGAGAAACTTTTTGAGCATTTTAATTCATACAGTTATCAGACAGAGAAAATGAAACAAATCAAGTAAGTTGAAAATATTATAGAAGTAGCTCAAAATTTTAAAATAAATAATTAGTAGTTAATACTCGTTTTGAAAAATAATCAAGCATAATTCATATCAGTTCAGTGAATGTTGACATTATGATCACAGCTGAATGAAAACGTAAGTAACCAAGAGATATGAACAGGTTTCAAAACTATTTTCTGATCATCTGCATCTTAGTTCGCAATATTTCAACTGCCAAATTAACAACATGTATAGAATCCTTCTGAATGAATGTCTATTTTCCACTTTAGGAACTATCTAGTGAAGTCATCAAATTAAATATCCATGGATAAGCGGGAGATGTGAAAGCCGTTTCATAGTTAGTTATCAGTTTAAATGTCTTAGATAGCTATGGTTTGACAGAACTGTATTGATACTGGAGTGATGATTGGAAGTGAAATGAAAATTTGGGCCACTGATGGATTCGAACCAGTGACCACCTGGTGCTCTATCAACTGAGGCATTAGACCGGACTGCTAACCACCCTAGGTGATTGAAATGAAATAAAATCCTGGTCAGCAATTGGATCTCATATTTCATTTGGTAGAGCATCGGGCCAGAAACCTAGTGGTCACTGGTTCTAGAAAAGTCACTTTATTGAGCAACATTTCTTATTTTTAATTTGCTTTTTGGAATTTTCCGACAGTTTTAGTGACGTTTCATAATATTCTTGTACACTGTTCTATTGACTTTCACCACTTAGCGGAAATTTCAGAACTTTTCATCACATATTTATGAACGTACAGCACTGAAAATGAGTTGGCAGAAAGATAACTTTGTTTGCTGCAACCACCTTTTTTGTCTTGTAGATGGAATCGGATGTCTATATTGAATAACTTTCATAGGTAATTCCATAGTTTGGCCAGAAAATTCGCTGAGATTTTATCTTTCGATTATGATGATAGGAATATTAAAAAGCCTTATCCTTAAGTAATATGGAGTTAGATAATCATCGTCAATAAGTATTTCCTCTTAACTTGTTATTTTCTAAGTATCTGAATAGGAGCTATCACCTGACAGAAAGAATTACAAGGCGGTTGTAAATGTAAGAGTAGATCTGAATTTGAAGTGACGGACTGAACAGTGCGGTAAGAAAAGATACTGAATAAGTGAAAATACTCGACTTATTAATTAATGATCAACCACTATCCCCGACTCCCAGTTTCATATTCATCACTCAGCAGTAGAAATATCTGAAGACAAGGGTCAGGCTGTGAATTGGAGAACGAGCTCCATTAGAGAAAGCACATCAGCTAGATGCTGTTAGCATTTGCTCAAAAGTACACTAGGTTAAATTATAACAACTTACCCTAATAAACTCAGTGAAATGCACAACTCTTCAATAGAGTTATCCTCGGGACACAGCAGTATTAATTAGAACCATAGCTAAGAAACTTCTAACCAGTAGTTGCTAGCTTATTGATTTCTGTCTTGGCTTTTTCTAATAAACATTGGTTAAAACACATAAATGGTAAGCTGTTACTTAGGTATGGAAGTCATTCGGTCTAACTTAACACCAATAACTGGTAAACCACACGACTGGTAGATGCGTATATATATATATATATATATATATATATATATATATATATATATATCAGCAGCTTCAGTCGTATGAGGAAAAAGAATATGAACAACACTTGCTAGTCAGTTAATGATCTAACTGGTAGTTGGAACTAGCTCTTCGATCTGCTTACATTTGGTGCATTTCCCCTTTTTCACCATGCACATACGTAAAGAACTCCTCATGATGCAACTGATTTCATAGAAGCGACTGGGTTGACATATGGATGTGGACAGTTAAAGGACTATTTTCATCTTACTTAGAATCAGGGACGTCTTATTGGAAGACTTCAACAATGGACAAACTTTTTCTTACCTTTTTTACAATGGTAACTGCTTCAAATTTTTATGGGCATCCAGTAAGTTATCAACAATAACTTTGTTCTAGAATAATGAAGCGAATATATTTTCAAACATTCCATTGAATAACTCTAAAGACCATCCTAGGAAGGACTGAAATAGCCAATTAGGTCTCCTTATTTCCTCTGGAAAAGCAGATATCCATAAAATAAAAAAATCTGATCATTTATTTTATTTGTTGTTATTCCATTTCTTTCGCTTGGCAAATTTGAACAAAGCTACAACGAACAGATTTACGCAGCTGAATGATGGCAGTCTATTTAACGGATGTTGATCAGTTACATATAGCCCTTGATTGCTTAAACTTTCAAATAAATAACACACCTTTGTCCATAAAGACAGGTTGCAAAGTTAGATGACAACAGATGTTTCAAAGCGATAGAAGGAAACATAAATTATTTATCTTCGTCAAGATAAATGATAACTTATGTATGACTGCAACGACAACTGAAGATTTGTCATGAAAGAAAAAAAATTTAGGAAACGAAATATATTCATAAAAGTTTATAGATCACCTTAGTTTGCCATTTTAACATTTCTAAATTAAAATATTTTTTAGATAAATACGCAAGCTGTCTAACAAAAGTACGTGATGGAATTTTTTCGCCAGTCCAAATTACAGTTGTGTATTATGAAACCGTTGACAATGTATTCAACGACATAACTACATGTTCAATAAAATTTTTTTTGTAAATAGATATCTATTAAAGTTCCACTTAAAATCTTCTTTCGATATAATTTAGATAGTTTAGGTCAGGTTAGTGTTTCTTTGTAGTTCAGTGGTAATGTTGATCAATCAAACCTTGAGCATTCCACCACAATACATGAGAAGGTGAGATCACTCATGAATCCCTACAACTTGAATATTTTTAACTGGTAGATATAAATTCTCTGAAGAGTATATTTATCACTTTTAATGAATGAAAAATTGTAAAGTATTATTTCAAATGGCAGCGGAAAAGTATAATTATAAACAAAAATTCATTGGTTCAATCTAGTACATTTAAAAAGATCACACTGAAAGATTTATGAAGAAAGCGGCCGGGAAAAGTAGATGAATAAAACAATAATGAACAAACTGAGATCACAACACATGATGAATCCATGATTATTAGCGATACCAGGTTTCCTTTTGTTTACATAAAATGAGTGGTCCATTCTATCTCTGGGATCTACACCGGAAAACATTTATTGGAATTAATAAAAGCATGCATTATTTTGCTTCTATAGTGTCATTATCAGTAATTCTGAAGGCTACACATGCAACTCCATCATACGGGTGAGCTGAATGCTGAAACATCAAGCTTCTAGGCATAGACAAATCTTCTTGTTTACTTCTCACTGTTTGGTTCGAAACCCACTGATACATTAAGAATACCTCTCGGAGGACAAGTGATGATACTACATCCATTGAACTCAGAGAAAGCTTTCAGTGAAGATTAGCTTTTAAAACTACTGTTATTTGAGCTTGGTATTTTAGCTATTGAAATGCACAAACCATTTGTATGGACGAACACATTAACACTTCTGTTTATTAGGTCAATCATTTAGACTCATATTCAAGAATAACATTGATAGAGGAGCGAAGTTTGTAAGCATGAACTGTACCACAACATATTTTGAAATTGAGTGCATTGTATTGGTATAATGGTTCTAAAGTATATTACTAAGCGCCTTGCACTATACGTGACGTAATTTACTGTCTATTGTTACTTGGTGATATCAATCAAAGTTTCTGCCATTAAATTTCTCATGGCTTCATTCACAGTTTAGAATTAGACTAAAGAGGAAGCATGAATCCATCTATTTACTAGTAGGAGAGTACTTAACGTTTGGATAAGCAACCTATCCGTTTCATGAAAAGTAAGAAACTTGATTACTTAGAATATCTTAGGTGATTAGGAAAGCTTCAAACACAATTACCGAAGTTACATTGATGAAATAGCCCTTGATAATGCACATACCTGGATATTGTACGATAGGAATAAGTGTATTACGTACAACTTTCATTCAGAAAACTTATTGACCAAGGCTTTCGTACTCATAGGACTTTATACAACAGACTTTTTCCTTTCTTGATATTCATTCAGATAAAATGCTCTTGTCAGGTGATGCAACTCAGTTGACAACTTCAAATTTATAAGTGATTATCATCAAACTCTGACCTATTACGACATTAGTAACCGTCATCTTACGTAGTTATATATACTAGTAACCAATAATACTGACTGCGACTTGTGCATTCTTTTAACTTTGGAAGTTAGTCAACAAAGTTGGCATCACTTCTTTGAAGTACTATTCGGACAATGACACTTAATTTATACTTGGAACATTTACCATTATTGACCTGGTTGTGACCAGTAGTGGAATCCAAGACATGCGCTTCGTCATATTTGGGTCTGGTCAGGTGAATTTTCTTGCAAGCCAGTGAGTGATGTTCCTACTTAGACTCGAACCTCACGCCCCTTCGCTTCAAACACCAGAGAGTTATCCAGCAGGCCACTGAGACAAAATAGCCACCTCTTGTACAACGCATATTAGTTTTTATTACCTGTTGATACTCATAATTTTGAAATGGTAGAAAATATTTGTAGCTCAGGCGGATGGTCTTGGTAATATTGTGCTCTCTGAGCTGGGTTGTTTAATCGTGAAGCTTTCATCGTCTTTCTAGACGACATCGTCAGCACTAACTTCAGTATGAAGTCAGTGAAGTTAGTGCTGATGATGTCGTCTAGAAAGACGATGAAAGCTTCACGGTTGAACAATCCAGCCCGGAGTACACAATACGACCAAGATACTCATAATTCTCCACTGTTAAACTGGATTCAGTTGATAGGTTTCCGTTGACATATAAGCTTCTATGAGGATGCCATCGTCTGCCTCGTAGAACAATGTTGGCCGAAGTATGTTCCGGTTGAAAAAAGGCTCAGGAAAGCCAGACTAAAACATGGCATTAATGGATGAAGTCCTTGACTGTTGGTTTGAGCTGTGTAGGGTGATGAAGAGTAGCCAGTTGGGGTCTGCGGACGAGAAAACCCATGAATGAAGAGTCTAGGTGATATGGCTTAGAACCGATGCCAGTGATCCAGATTCATACATACATTGTCCTAATATTAACGGCTTTGCTGAATCTCATAATCTCCTCATTCTTCCTTCTTCTCTTTTACTACCTTCTACTGCTGCTCTCTTTGACCGATTTTTCTTGATCTCCCACTTTATTACCTTTTTACTTGATGTGCTGATATGAGGTGTGACAACTTGGACCATTACGCCTGGTCTTATGTTGATCTTGATGATGATGAAACCATATAGAGATGCACCGTAGAACCTGATGGAAGGCAAGCGTTAATGCACTTGGTACCGTAAAAGCAAGTGAACTGAAGTATCCAAATAGTGCTCAACATATACAGTAACTCATACTATTTAAGAAACACAGTAGCAGGTGATTAATATGGACAGTCAGCATGATGAAAACATCGTTCAAATTAACAATGATATTCAATGGGCTATGCAACTCTTGAATACCAAGAATTACAGTTTTCATTCTAGTGAAACTGTTTAAACAGCTGTTCCCATTAGAGACTTAATTCAAAGTTCCAGGTCAGAATCCTTTGTCTGATGGTGTAAGAGCACACTTATGGTGATACAGCATGTCCTAGTTTGTTTACTGGATTAAAATTCGCACCTATTAAACAGCTTCTCACAATTTTATCTAAATACTGAGAGGAGAATTGGTAGGTGAGCTTAAAACGTAAAAACCACACAGTAGAGTTCTACTTCGACAAAGAAAAAGACGGAATATTGCTTTATTCTTCCTCTTTAGGAACATAGCTTACACATCTTTTACTACCCATTGTTAGGCTTTCTACACATGTCTCCTTTGGAGATGCAGCATATATTAATTTGAACAGAATTCTGTTGAACCATATTTGGGATAACATCAATATCCCCATGACAAACAGCATCAACTGGATATGTGGTGGGTAAAATTAGACGCAGATATTAAAATCATCCGAACCTCATCGTTCAAACAGTGACCTTGTCAGTTATAGACGTGCTGAAGAAAAATTTTCTATGCCCTAATATAATGCAATCTTACCATCTGGTCAGTGAATTAAGTATGTATATCAGTAATATACAAAACTATGAATAAAATGAAGAGGATTGTGAACACTATGGAGAAAATTACTCCTGAGAATTAGTGATATTTATAAGTAGTAAGGTCATACCTGATAAGAGTTCGATAAAAAGCGATGATGGATTCAAATTATTCTCGTAAATGGTCTTTCAAACTAAGTTCAGAATTAGTCCAGTAATGTGGCCGTTCCTCTCTCTCTCTCTCTCTCTCTCTCTCTCTCTCTCTCTATATATATATATATATATATATATATATATATATATATATATATATATATATATATATATATAATGAAAGATAAACGTTCGCATTTAGTTTGGGAAAAGGGATGATTTTCAACTTACGAAACTTGAATATTTCAAATATTTCAGCAATGACGTACGCGAAGAAAATTCAAAGCTAGTTTGCTATTCACAGTGAAACTGTTTGGTCTCGACAACTTAGAGACTTTGAGGAATGGGGCTTCTAAGTAGCAGTAAAGTCTATAACAACATATGCATTGGTCATTTCAATTTGAAACTTCGCAAAACTTGACTGTGTACATGGAGGTATAATGTAACACTACTGAACGTGTTTTCCTTTTATTGCTGACTTACCGTCACTGACAGCAAAATGAAATACTATCACTTTTGAGACTAGGTTTCGTCTTGCCCTGATAAAGATGTTTACAAGAGCCAAATATGATGACTATTCACTCATCTATAATAGACTAGACTATACGCATTTCTGAAGCTAAGAGTGAAAATTATTTCTCCATCTTCTAGAAAGTCGTCGAACCCTCAATTACTGTGACTCCATTCGGATGCTTGATTTCATGAAGCGTTTCTTCACATATTCTGGAGTACAGTTAGTAGATGGGTTGATCAGGAAGGTAGCTACGGATCTAAATATATCATGTTCTCGATTAGTTCCAGTAGTTTATGCAGATTAAAAACCCTGTCAATTCAAAATCAGCCGAAATAATAATTTTATTCTCGAAATTAGTATACTATCCTCATCTTGGATGTTTTTTAGGTGATACCAGAACAATACAAACATTCGAAATTCAGGGTTTTAGTAATCTTGACATCAATACTTGCTGTCTGATTTCTCATGGAAATTGTACAAAGAGTACTCATATTCGCAGCTAAAACACACATTTTTGAGGTCAGGATCGCCTTTCCCTATGCAGCAGTTTCTAAAAAAGGTTATTCAGGTAGAACGTGAATGAAAACCAAAGCCCTTAGTTTCAGTAGCAGTCATGGCTTCTCAACGGTACAAGAAATGAACAAGGAAAAATGACTGGTATATACAAAAATCACTACTTTGCGGAGATTTTCTGCAGACTGATACTCCCATGCCAACTGTCAAGAAGAAGTTGTTATCTTACTAAAGTAACTGACTGATATAGCGTTATGCTTGAAATATATGATTAAACAGACTCAGTGATATCTGCTTGTGGCCTGTTCATTAGTTATATTTTTCGAAGCCTTGCCCAAAAGACTTGAATAGTTTTATCACTGGTAGTGATGATGCTTTGTGATTGCAGCTTGTCGGAATAAAAAAGTAAATTCGTTTGTAAGTACTCTTGTACTAAAAGAAAAATTGTTCCCAACGGATTAAGGTCTTACGGGGGTTCAGTAACAGCACGAACAGGTCAGTGACAACAGCTGTGAATGAAACACTGGGTGATGAGGGTTCGAATCGTAGGGGGAACATCACTTCCCCGGAGGTTGCAGATACGCCTTGCTGACGAGTGCCAACAAGCATGAAACTTAGGTCACAGGCTTTTCGCCGATCGCCTTCATTCAACTAACACCTATCTCAGTGCATCGCGATCTTCAGCCTCCT